ATTTACAATAGCAAAGACTTGGAGCCAACACAAATACCCATCAATGATAGACTGGATAAAGAAAATGTGGTATATAAACACCATGGAATGCTGTGCAGCCATAAGAATGAGATTATGTCATTTGCAGGGACATGGATGAAACTGGAAGCCATCATCCTCAGCAAACTAATACAGGAACAGAAAACCAAAAACTGCATGTTCTCACTCATAAGTGGGAATTGAACAATGAGAACACATGGACACAGAGAGAGGAACAACACACACTGGGGCCTGTCGGGGGCTGGGGGGCAAGGGGTGGGAGAGCATTAGGACAAATACCTAATGCATGCGGGGCTTAAAACCTATATGATGGGTTGATAGGTGCAGCAAACCACCATGGCACATGTATACCTATGTAGCAAATCTGCATGTTCTGTACATGTATCCCAGATTTTAACTGGAAACCATAGGGTTAAAGATAAATGGAACTGTACATAAACACTGTACTGTATTTGGTAATTTTTTTCTCATTGGGGTTTGGGTAATCAGTTCTGAAACTGCTTTACATCTATCCTGGGGTTGAACAAATAAGTAAGTGGATGAATTGTGGGAGCCAGGTTTCATGCTGTCAGAGGGCATTTACAAATAAGCAAGAAGGGAAGCATAGGATAAACCCTCTAGTGCTGGATTAGAGCCAGAAACATCAGTATGAACTCATATTTAGGTAGAGCTACACATACATATATGTACATATACACACACAGATGGATAGACACAGAATGATTACAGATAGGTGTGTATACATAGCATAGTATACATATATTACCTACCTCCAACTGCCAAGGTCCTATAATCAGTGACACCCCAGTAGCAATTTCACCCTCAGTACTTAGATATTGCTTTCCAAATACCATTTATAACTAAGAACCCTCAGAGAAATGGCTTATTCGTGAGGGCAGGGCAATGAAAAAATAAAAGATGAATAGCATCAGAAAGTAAAGTGCCCAAAAAACACAAAATAATGGGGGTATGTCAAAGGGACAATAGGAGCCAACCTTAAAGAGCTCCCAGTGGCCAAAGCTGAAACAATTTGAGCAACAAAATAACTAACATAGTATTTTTAATAACCCAAAGTATAAAATAAATATACAGTCAGATGCTATCTAATGATGTTTGGGTAAATGAAAGACTGAATGTACCAAGGTGGCCCTATAAGGTTATAATGGAGCTGAAAAGTTTCTATTGCCCAGTGATACTGTAGCTGTTCTAATTCATAGTGCCATACATTACTCAAGCAGTTGTGGTAAAGCTAGTATAAACAAACTTACTGTGCTGCCAGTCATATAAAAGTATAGCATATATAATTATGTGAAGTACATAATACTTGAGAATGACACTATACATTTTATCATTATTTTAGATTGTACTCCTTATTAAAAAAAAAAAGTTGGCTGGGCATGGTGGCTCACGCCTGTAATCCCAGCACTTTGGGAGGTCGAGGTGGGCGGATCACCTGAGGTCGGGAGTTCGAGACCAGCCTGACCCACATGGAGAAACCCCATCTCTACTAAAAATACAAAAAGTAGCCAGCGTGGTGGTGCATGACTGTAATCCCAGCTACTCGGAAGGCTGAGGAAGGAGAATCGCTTGAACCTGGGAGGCGGAGGTTGCGGTGAGTCGAGATCGCACCATTGCACTCCAGCCTGGGCAACAAGAGTGAAACTCCACCTCAAAACAAACAAACAAACAAACAAAAAACCCAAAAGTTAACTGTAAAACAGCCTTAGGCATTCCTTCAAGAGGTATTCAAGAAGAAAGCATCACTATCATAGGAGATGACAGCTCCACTGGTGTTACTGCCCCTGAAGACCTTTCAGTGGAACAAACTGTAGAGGGGGCTGACTATGATACTGATGATTCTGACCCCCTGAGATTGCCCAATGGGCTCATAAACAAAATGGCCATGGTGGCAGAGATAGAGGTTATGCATGGGCTCAGCAACACAGACTTCCACTCACCGATGCTGATCTGGCTAAAGGCACTGCCAAGTACCCAATCTGCCAGCAGCAGAGACTAACAATGAGTCCCTGACATGGCACCATTCCCCAGGGTGATCAGCAAGCTACCCGGGGGCAGGTTGATTACAGTGAACTGCTTCCATTAAGGAAGGGGCAACATTTTGTACTTACTGGAACAGACTAGATATGGATTTGCTTTCCCTGCATACAATGATTCTGCTAAAACTACCATCTGTGGACTTACAGATTCACCTTATCTACCGTCATCATATTCCACAACGTTGCTTCTGACCAAAGAACTCACTTCACAGCAAAAAAGTACAGCAATGGGCCTATGCTCATGGAATTCATTGGCCCTACTATGTTCCCTACCATCCAGAACCAGGTGGATTGATCCAACATTGGAATAGCCCTTTGAAGATTTAGTTATAGCACCAGCTAGGTGGCAATACCTTGCAGGGCTCGGGAAGGTTCTTCAGAAGTCCGTACATCCTCTTAATCAGTATCCAATACATGGCATGGTTTCTCTGATAGCCAGGATTCAAGGGCCCAGGAATCAAGAGATGGAAATGAGAATGGTACACTATTACTCTTAGTAATACCACTAGCAAAAATTTGTCTTCCTGTTCCCATGATTTTATGCTTTACTAGCCTAGAGGTCTTAGTTCCAGAGGGAAGAATGCTTTCACCAAGAGACATAATGATTCCACTTAACTGCAAGTTGACTGCTACCTGGCCACTTTGGGCTCCTTGTGCCACTGAATCAACAGGCAAAGAAGGGAGTTATGGGGCTAGCTTGGGGTGACTGATCCTGCCTGCCAAGGGGGAACTGAACTACTACTCTACATGAAGGTAAGAAAGAATACATTTGGAATACAGGAGATTTGTTAGGGTGCCTCTTAGTATTAACACTGTCCTGTAATTAGAGTAAATGGAAAACTACAACCTAATCCAAGCAGGACAATTAATGTTGCTATGGCTTTAGGAATGAAGGTTTGGGTCACCTGTTAGGTAGAGAATCACAAGCAGCTGAGGTGCTTGCTGAAGGCAAGGGGAATATGGAGGGTTAGTGGAAGAAGGTATTTATAAATACCAGTTACAACCATGTAACCAGCTGTAGAAACAAAAACTGTAATAGTCATGAGTATTTTCTTTTTATTTTGCTATGAATACATTTGTGCATTTTCTTTTCTCTTATTCTTTTATCATGTAACTTTCTATCATAGTATTTAAGTATTGCTAACATTACATAATTTATGCTATGTAAGTATTTAAGTTATGGGATATCATGGAGAAGAGTAAACATCAGACAAGGACTTTACCTCCTCTTCTGAGGAATGGTTTAGTATGTTTTCCGTTGTATGCTAGATAGTTGTATCATGTTAGGTGGAATTATGATCGTGCTATTGTCTTTATTTGCAGATTAACTATGGTTTACGGAGATGTGCATGGGTGCCAAGTTGACAAGGGGTGGACTTGTGATGGCTAATTTTATGTGTCAACTTGACTATACCATGGGGTGCTAGATTAAACATTATTTTTGGATGTGTCTTTAAGGATGTCTTTCGATAAGATTAGCATTTGAGTTGGTGGCCTTAGTAAAGCAGATTGCCCTCACTGATGTTAGTGGGCATCATCCAATCTGCTGAGGGCCTGAATAGAACTTTCAAAAAGGAGAAGGAAGGAAGGATTTGTCCCTTTTTCTTCCTGCCTGCCATCTGGAGCTGGGATATTGGTCTTCTCTTGCTCTTCGACTGAGATTTATACCATCAACTCCCCTGATTCTGAGCCTTCAGACTTGAACTGAAATTACACCACTGGGTTTCTTGGGTCTCCAGATGGCAGATGGCAGATCATGGGACTTCTCAGCTTCCATAATTGCGTGAGCCAATTTCTCAAAATAAGTCTCCCTCTGTCTATATGTCCTACTGGTTCTCTTTTTCTGGAGAATCCTGACTAATACAATTCTCCATTCAAATTTCTTTTTCATGAAAATGCCTCCAATTTTTCCAAATTCTTCATGAAACATACCTTGTATGACTTTCTTGATCTCCCTCTCTCTCTCTTTTTTTTTTTTTCTTAGAGATGGTCTTACTTTGTTGCCCAGGTTGGAGCTCAGTGGCACAATCGCAGCTTACTGCTGCCTTGAACTCCTGGGCTCAAAGATTCCTCCTGCCTTAGCCTCCCAAGTAGCTGGTGATTATAGGCAGGTGTCACTGCTCCCAGGATTAAAATTTTTTTTTTGTCAAGACAGGGTCTTGCCATATTGCCCAGGCTAGTCTCAAACTCCTGGGCTCAAGCAATCCTCCTGCCTCAGGCTCCCAAAGTGCTGGGATTACAGGTGTGAGCCACCACGTCTGGCCCCTTGATCTCTTTTGGTCTATGTAGCACATGATGGCAAATAATCTACTACAGTGTCTCTGACAGGTTTGTATTTTTGGGCCTTATCTTCCTAAGCAGAATTTAATAACCTTAGAGCAAGAGCTTTTTCTCTTATTTCTTCTGTGTGTATTATTATTTCTGTGTGTATTATCACTTCTTCTTCCATTTGTTAATTAATTTATTCACTCATTAAACACATATCTGCTGGGTGCCAATACAATGGTGAACAACACCAGACAGTTCCCTTAACTCTTATGGAGATTACAGTTTAGTTGGGGACGTAGAAATGAATAAAACAGCCATAAAACAAATGCACAATGATAAGTGTCAATAATGTTCTGAAGGGAAGATACTTGACGAGAGTCCACAAAGGGGAACCCTACCTAACTTTGAGTGGAGAGGAGGATGGGCAGGGCAGGAAAGGCTAATCCGGACAAAGTCATGTTTGAGCTGAGATCTGAAGAATGAGTAGCTTTTCACTAAATAAGATAGAGAAAAGAAGTGAAGGTTAGAGAAGAGTATTCCAGATAGAAGTTCTGGCTTAAAGAGGGTGGATAGGGCCATAGTATCACACACAGCAAGCCTCAAGATACAGGGACTGACCAAATAGACAATACTAACCATTTTCTTCAGTCTCTTCTCTTCTCGTTTTCTTTCAAGCTGTGCCTCCTTTTCTTCTGCCTCCCTTTTCTGACGTTCCTCCTCTTGGGCCTTTAACTGGGCCTGATTGAGATTAGAACCCAGAAAAATCAGAACCCTCAATTTGAACAGAAATGTGATCTTTCATGTTTAGGATAGTCAATCTACCAAAGTGCCTGTCCTATCTCTGGAATAAGTCTGCACTTGGTGATAAAAGTAGAAAACTCAATCAACATGTCATCAGTTATGTAACTTAAAAGTTTCTCCAAAAGAATCCTTTTCTACTTGGGAAGGAAAGACTGATCATAAATAATATCACTAATTTTTCATTTAAAAATGATGACTTTGGCTGGGAATGGTGGCTCACGCCTGTAATCCCAGCACTCTGGGAGGCCGAGACGGGCGGATCACGAGGTCAGGAGATCGAGACCATCCTGGCTAACACGGTGAAACCCCGTCTCTACTAAAAACACACAAAAAATTAGCCGGGCGTGGTGGCGGCCACCTGTAGTCCCAGCTACTTGGGAGGCTGAGGCAGGAGAATGGAGTGAACCCAGGGTGCGGAGCTTGCAGTGAGCCGAGATCACGCCACTGCACTCCAGCTTGGGCGACAGAGCGAGACTCTGTCTCAAAAAAAAAAAAAAAAGATGACTTTTTAGTTCTTACTGCCATCTGTGAAAAACTAACTCCAAGTTAGAAACAGTTTAGGAGGAAAAAGGTTTTCTTTCATTTCACCAGAAAACCCCCAACTGATAGAACTGTTTATTTTTTCTTGGTAATTACAAAATTTACTTCAGATAGTCTAGGTCAAAACTTTGGAAGATAAGAACTAACCCCCTTTGCAAATTCATTAGGTCAGACATCTGCCTATAATACACTAATCTTGTTTATGTGTAAATCTTCTAATCTGCTGGCTCTCATCAACTTTTATAACATTTTCTTCCTGCTGTGTTAATGATGTTGATGTTTCTGTTCCCCTTATTTTCCTAAAATTGTCAAAGAATTCAGGCCAGTAGGCCAAAAAACCATTTCCAAAGTTGACGTAACTCTATTGTCTCAAGAGTTCTGAAAAAGTGAGGTTTCATTTTTTAAGAAAGACCTAGACAAATCCTTTTTTTTTTTTTTGACTCAGTTTGCATTTTGAATTTATTACCAATTTTTCTTCTTCTTGTTTTTTCTTCTTCTCTGCCAAGATTCGCCTACGTTCAGCCCGTTGAATTGCTCTCTCTTCCATAGCTAGAAAATAGTAACAGAGTTCTAACATTTTTTATATTGAAAAAAATATGAGGAATACTGCAAGAGAAATGCCTCCATTTCATAGTAAAATTTAGTGTTATTATTAGGGTTTTCTTGTAAGTTGAAAGTTCACAATCTCAGAAAATATGTAGAGATAAATAGAACTTATATACTCTATAGGTTAAAGACTTATTATCCCATCCTCAGCAATGAGGAACAATTTATAAATTAATTGTTTTGTTTATATTTTTATTAAAAATGATTAAAAATGATTTATGATTTATAAAAAATGATTTACTGATTTATAATGTGCCTTGATGATAGACTTTTAGTATATGAAACCCAGAAACCAGAATTATAATTTGATTATATATTTGATGAATGCAGGAAACTTTAATTACACCTAACAAGTACTTTGAGAGTAGAATCATTCCTCAAATCCTATTGAATCTGCTAATTTTTCTTAAGTCACTATACATATGTCTGTATATATAAGAACAACAACAAACAAACTAAAGTTTAGGGTCACGATGAAGATATTTCAATCTAGTTTTAAGGCCTGGATATACAGATGGGCAGGAAATGGAATTGTACCAGGCATTTGGAGAACTGGCATATGAACGAATTTGAGTGTCAGAATCCTGTTCTTGACAGTCTATTAAATATCGATCCAAAAGAAACAAATGTGCAAGATGGTCTGATAATATGACTCTGTAATCAGTTGGGGCTTTCACAGGAAGAAGGGCATGGATGGGAGGAGTATCAAGTTCTGCTCACCTAAGCCAGCCAATAGTTACTTTCAGTTCCTTGTGCCATATTACAGAGAAAAGAATTTAAGTCCAAGTTTTAAGAATTAATAAACAAAAAACTCACCAGGCTATTTCTTACAGATATTAAGTGTCTGCTTTGCTGAAGAAGAATGGTAGTGCCACAGATGGCGAGAGTGAAATTGTCTCTCAGAAGGCAGAAATAGACTAGGGGATTAAAGTAAGAGACCCCTAAGGAGTAGAGTCTCTGGTAATATGCCCTTTGCCCATCTTTTCTAGATCTAATCATTAAAAGACTACTTGAAAGTAGATTGGGCTTCTAAAATAGCTAACTCCTTGATCAAACAATAATTTAAAAAAAAAATCACACTTAACTGGGCATTTCCTGACCAAGCTTAACGACAGGCAATGCCAGCATAAATTGCTGTCCTGGCAGATAGTTAATGCAAAGACTGCCAATTTCTTCATTAATAGGAACTGACTGCAGGCACAGTATCTTCATTTGCAATTACTTCTTGTTAAACCAGCAATCTTGTCACAGGTAAAAAATCAAATTTACAAACCACAATATAATTGTCAAAGTGCCAACCACCACATGCAAACATATGTACAGTGAAGGACTAAGTATATAGTAAAAACAATTAGCAGATTCACTAGGTGGGTTCTGAAGAATGCTTCTATTCACATAGTTTAGTTTAAATAAGGGTTTCTGGCCAGGTGCAGTGGTTCATGCCTATAATCCCAACACTTAGGGAGGTTGAGGTGGGAGGTCTGCTTGAGGCCAGGAGTTTGAGACCAGTCTGGGTAACACAGGAAGACCCTACCTGTACCAAATAAATAAATGTTTCTATGTGCATCAAAAATGTTATCAAATGAAGATATCTGGTTTGTAGGTTTCATTACTAAAATCCTATCAATAAGTTACAACATTGTAAAATGATATAATAACTTAGCTTGGATTACTGTAAACTGATCAATATTTGAACATTAACGAAGTACGATGACAGGTGACCTTTACCAGTGTTTGTCCTTGGCAGCAACTCAGAGCTTTCTCATTTGTATAATTATCCCTTTTCTTTTCACAATCCAAATCTCAAATTACAGAAAAATGACACACCTTTCAGCTATGTTTTTTCTGTGTGTGTGTTGGTTGGGAAAGCCAAAAAGGTTGGCAAAAGGGGCAGTAAAAAAGTACTGGGGCTCTCTGGTGTACTCCACTCCTCACATGTCTACCATTCTGAGATTTTTGATGTCAGGTTCTGTCAAGTCTCAAAACCTCAAGAGTCGTCAGAATTCAGTACCAGTGTACACATTCTACTCTAGGAAAGGAGATTACAACCACCAAGGCACCACCGAGACAGCCTTGCCTTTTAGTATGGGATGTGGTGTCATCAATTGCTTTGGCTTCCTCTTGCGTCCAGAAAGAGAATTTCGGGAGTCACTTCTACTGCCTTCAGTCCCAGGGGAAGCAACAGGTGAACTAGGGGAAAAATAAAGGAAAAGAATTTAGATTACTAACCAGTTTCCTTCAAAGTCCTTTGACCTGAGAAGCTCAAAGCCTTTTACAGACCTTAATGAATCCCTATTCTCTGAGATAACTACATATCATATCCACGCCATAAATGTGTGTAATGAGATACGGAAAGGTTGCGTGATTGGCATGAGTCTACACAGTGAGTCAGGTACTCTGACTCCCATCCTAATGTTTCAAATCCATAAGTATCACTACATCTTATCCTACCATTTACCACATGCAATAAGTATGTCTCAAGCACAACTGAAACCATCTTAAATGGCTTTTCAGAAATTTGGGCTCTTATTTGAGGCTCAAAGATGTTTTGTTTTATCCCTAACAACTACAAATTTAAGCTAGGAAATAAGCCAGCCCAGGGGCTGCTCCACATGGACCTGATGTTGTCTGACTTGGCTTCTCAGCACTTAACATAGCTAGAAACCCAGAAATAGAGCAAGAAAGCATTTTTCTGTTTAACTGGCATAGTAACAGAGATCCTCAAAAGCAGCCACGACCCAAACGCTGTGTAACCGGATCCTTACAGGCATCCTTGACTATCTATGCCTGTCATATGCTAGTCGCAACATAGGCTTCTTTGCTTTGAGAGCACAAAATCAAAGAAAAGGAAAGATCATGGAACTCAGAAGCAGGACAAAGAAGCTCAGGAGCCCCAAGTGAAAAACCCCTTAAAATGAGTCCAGAGAGTTCTGATAGAACAGACATACTTCACAAGCATCTGGCAGGTTCTTGGTTCCTCTTCTCCTCTGGGCTTTGACAGCAGGTGGCTCTGTGCGTCTGTGATTGCTGAGGCATGCTCTGCTGCCCACTGAGCCTCTGCCAGCCGCTGGTTTTTCTTCAGCTCGAGAATTGTTTTCTGCTGTTCCTGAAGTTTCTTCTTTTGCTTCTCAATCAGCTGCTGCTGGAAGACATGGCGGCTGTGGAAATGACCCAAGCAAAGCGGTTCTGCTTTCTGGCTGGTGGTTCTGAGCGTCTCGTTGCTGCCAGGCAGTTGAGGGGGTTCAACACCCAGGGTCTTGTGCTGCTTATTGCCAGGTGCAGTCAAAGGGACATTCTGAAGGGAACCCTGCAAGTTGCCTGTTGTTCTTCCCAGGGGAGGACTGAGCATACAATCACTGCTTCCCAAGGGAGGCTTTTCCCACAAACGGGGCACAGCAGTCACCTGAGAGAGAGAAACATGTTATAACTCAACTATTTAAAGGACTGTGCTGATGAAATTCAACATTCATGAGGTCAGTATTGTTTTGTTTAATGGCACAACTGCCATGTATTGCAGGTAAAGGTGGTCTGTGCTCCTGGCCTGGCTACCTCAGAGGCCACCACTCTTAAAACATGCATTGTTGCTCACCATGAAAACTGGGAGAGTGGCTGGCTATGGTGGCTCACACCTATAATCCTAGTGCGTTGGGAGCCCAAGGTGGCAGATCACTTGAGGTCAGGAGATTGAGACCAGCCTGGCCAACATAGTGAAACCCTGTCTCTATTAAAAACACAAAAATTAGCCGAGCATGATGGTACGCACCTGTAATCCCAGCTAGGATTACAGGAGGCTGAGGCAGGAAAATCACTTGAACCCAGGAAGTGGAGGTTGCAGTGGGCCAAAATCGTGCTGCTGCACTACAGCCTGGGCAACAGAGTGAGACTCTGTCTCAAAAAAAAAGAAAACTGGGAGAGTGGCTACAGCTGTATGAACCACTGCCATGGGCCAGGACATTCGCAATAGCAAAAATGTTCTCTTATAAATTTCTATTTTGGACAGTTCATTTGTGAATTAGGCAAGGTTACTCCAGATAAATATATATATATATATATATATACACACACACACACATATATATATAAAAAACAGGAATTTAATATGCATAAATTGACTCTGAATTTTAGTGGAAATTTGAAGATGTTGTGGCAAAGGATATATTCTTTCTCAAGAACGTCTGAAAACCAAAGAATATCTTTACAAATTAATAATATATCTCTGTTCTTTCAATGCCTCTCCTGACACTAGTAAATTAATCATATGCCATAGTACAGGATATTTATTTATTTCAGCATCAAGGTCCCGTCAAAGCCTAGCTAACCGTCTCCAGTTATTCCTGAACTATCTATGGGTGGGAAATATTTGAAAGCTCAGGATTGCTGGGCAAATATCTGCATTACATAAGAAAATGTTACCTAATAATATTTTGTATTAGCATATGATTAGTTCTCAAAGCTTTATTACATAAATCCCATCTAATAAACTGAGGTACCATACTCAATTACAAGTTCTATACAGAGGGGAAGGAAACAAGAACTTTTATTCAGAAACAGTTATCTTGGCCAAAATTATGGCATGTTAAAATGTCTCTACTAGAATGGTTTGATTCCATGGTCTAAGATCTAAGTTTTTGATTCTGCCATCTGCAATGGCTTAAAGAGAAAAATGCTATGAGCTATCTAATATCAGAAGCTTCTTGTTCTAACAGGATGCCATCCTTAGGGACTCAAAAATATTTTTCATGATTATAGAAATGCTTTCCATAGACTCAACTGAAATGAAGGATGTGGTATATGGAAACTCTGACATGTTAAACACTTTTAAAAGTAACCTTTTATTTCAGAAATGTCAGTGAACACTTATTAATGAGAATACCTGCTTAAGTAATTTAGTATCAAGCAGGGTATATGTTTTAGGTTCTTTTAAACTTGGTGGTAATGACACCTTATTAACCCAGCAAGACTGTGTCAAAGCCCTCAGTAAAGCGACAGAGTTTCTTTTGGATCATGGTAACTTTTTCACATGAAAATAAAGAATATGAAGGAAAAGCTTAGTGGTACAGATTGCACTCTATAATAGGGCAGGAGTGAATGGTCTGACTTAATTAGAGAAAATCACCTATTAGCTAACTGATAATTTTGGAAAAATTCAAGGTACAGTTTATGTGTTCTTAGTACATGAGTTCCTATGATTGTATAATTAATGAGCATCTAACTAAAGATTTTATATATTCATTTGTTCATGTTTTGCTGTACACTCTGGAAAAAGATTAGTTTACTTAGTCTCTACAGGGTTTATTGTAGCCCTCTATTTTCATTTGCTCCATTTTTAACGATATTATCCTTTCTTGATAAAGTCTTTTGCTCTTGATTTCAGAGATTTGGAGGCTTTTTTTACTTGAGTCTCTCTCTCTCTCATATATATATAGAGAGAGAGAGTAATTTTTCTGTTTTGCACAGGTAAAAATACTTTCTGCTGACTTTTTTTTCTTCATTTCAGAACAGTGGCACTTTGTAAAGTAAAAGGTTCTATACAGATTTTTTTAAGATAGAAGTCTGTCTTGGGTCTCAATGGAGAAAAAAGTATCTGCCATAAAGGTAGATACATTGCCTAGTGGAAGGGACCAAAATGTTATACATAAGTCCCAACAAGCATCTTCATGATCCTCCCTCTCTGAGAGAATAAGCTTAAATTAAAACCAGCCTGCTTGCCAGCAGTAATTAGGGTAAAAAGCAAGGCTGGGGATCCTCCAGTGCACAATTTAATGTCACATGTCTGAATTAAGTACTTAACAGCATTATATGGAGGGTGGAGGTGAGGGGGTAGAAGATCTTCTCCACAAGGTTTTCTAAACATGACAAGTGCAATGATAAAAGAAGAAAGCTGACAGGATTGACTTTATAAACACTTAACAACTGTGTATAGTACCAAACACTATAACTAAACCAAAAGACACATAACAAAATGGAAAAAATGTTTGCAATATATAACAATAAAAGCATCAATAATCTTAAAATATAAAGAATTCTTAATAAATAAGATAAAGATATCAAATAGAAAAATCGACAAAGGGCATGAAGAGACAAGTCACTATATATCTGTATCTTTCTACATCCATATATAGATATATATACAGTCGTGCATTGCTGAATAATGGGGATTTGTTCTGAGAAACAGGTGATTTTGTTGTGTAAACACTGTAGAGTGTACTTATACAAACCAGGATGGTATAGTCTGCTGCACATCTATGCTATATGGTGTAGCCTATTGCCCCTAGTCTACAAACCAGGATAGGATGTTACTGTATGGAATACTGTAGGCAGCTGTAACACATGGTAAGTATTTGCATATCTAAACATAAAAAAGGTAAAGTAAAAACAGTATACAAGATAAAAAATGTACACCTGTATGGGGGCACTTACCATGAATGGTGCTTGCAGGACTGGAAGTTGCTCTGAATGAGTCAATGTGAAGGCCTAGGACATTATTATACACTAGTGCAGACTTCATAGACATTGTATACTTAGGCTACACTAAATTTATTATAATTTTTTTCTTCAGTGATGAGTTAACCCTAGCTTACTGTAACTTTCTATTTTATAAACTTTTAAATTATTAACTTTTTGACTCTTTTTATAAAGTAACAGCTTAAAACACAAACATTGCACAGCTGTACAAAACTATTTTCCTTCTTTATATACTTATTCCATAAGCTTTTTTTTCTGTTTTCAAAGTGGTTGTTTTTTAGAAAAATTTTAAAACACATTTTTGTTAAAAACTAAAATACAAACACACATATTAGCCTAGGACTACACACGGTCAAGATCATCAAGAAGTCACTAGGCAAGAGGAACTTTTTGGCTCCATGATAATCTTATGGGACCACCACTGTGTATGTGGTCAGTCATTAGCCAAAACATTGCTATGTGGTGCACAGTATATTTTCAATAGAAAAATGTTTAACCTTACTAGTAGTCAAAGAAATACAAATGTTGAAGCAATCATAAGATGAAAATAGAACATGCATTCCATTTTTAGGTATTATCCTAAGTAAAGCATTATGGATATGTGTAGATTTAGCTACTACGATGTTCACTGAAGCACTGTTCACAATGGCGGCAAACTGGAAACACCTTAAATTCCAGGAACAGAGGAGCTGAACAGATTCCAGCTTATGGTTCATTACAGAATATCATGTAGCCATTACAAAATGGTGGCACAGAATACTAGTCCTCAGACAGGGGATGTGTACCACGTCCACTTGCAGAACTTAAAAAAACAGAGCTGCCCCACACCTGAAATTCTGTTTTAGTAGATGTTATTCTGAGGTATACTCTCAGTTGAGAACTACTATTGCAGAAGTATACGTAATGACAGAAAATGCTTGTGTTATATTGTGAAAATGCAATTTTTTTTTTTTAGAAAAACAGTAAGTATTAGTATTAAGAAGAAAAAAACATGGCCTTCCTTTTCCTGAATTTTGGCAGACTAGAGTTTCTCAGTGGCCTGACTAAAGAACATTTAAAAGCTAAATAAAATATTAAGAGATAAATTTGCATATGCGTAAAGACTAGATGGCTATACTTTAACATGTTATTAGTGATTATCTATAGATAATAGAATTATAGGATGTTTTGCTGTGATTTTCTATCAAATTGCTACAATTACTACATATGACTTTGCTTATTAGAAAAAGAAAAATTTTAAATTTCCACTCTTCTAAGTCACAAACTCATTTGGAGAGGAAATGTCTGATGATCAAAAAGAGGAGTTCAAGAGTTATAGACAGTGCGTTATCTGTCTGTTCCTAAAGGAATATTTCACTTAGTTGTTTTAAATGCCCTCTCGATATTACATCCCTACTAACTTCCAACAATGCCAAAGTTTACATATGATTATAAAAAGGAGATTCAATTCAAGGAAATAAACACTGCCTGAAAGGTAGTGCATTGAGGCAGCTCTAATCTTTTGATAGCCTAGACAAGGCAATCTGACGACGACTGACATACCAGCTATAAAAGCACAAACCTCAAATGCAAGTGTTGACTAAGCAGGAAAAACAATGTACCTGTCCATTTCTTACTGGTGGACCCACCACGGCTGTTGCCTCCTCGGGGAGACTGATGCCTGATGACTCACTGGCACTGAGTTTCCCCAGTGATGCTGCCTTCAGCAGTGCATCCATCTTCTTCCTATTTTCCTCTTTTGTGAGAGCCAGCTCTCTCTTCAGGAGCTCGGCGCCACACCAGTGTTGCCATTCTGTAAAGCAGTGTCGGAGAACTTGTTTCCGGTTATGCTCAGTGGCCAGTTGTTGTTTTCTAAGCAACAAAGCACTTCCATTAAAATAAAGAAGCCATTTACAGTTTGTTAATTGATAATATAAATGAAACGTAAGTCCAAAAGGGTTCTAGAAATGTTCCATCTTAGCTCTCGCTTAACATTTTGTATTAAGCTAAATGAAATTGCTTTATAAATTCCCCAGTGCAAAGGATCTCCTCATAGAAGGTGTCAGCACTTCAACAGATTACCTTCAAGAAGAAAGAGGAACTGTTCTGTTCTCTCATGTCACAAAGGCATATTAATTTTTTTTGATTACCATAGTTTCTGAAAGCTTTTGGAGGGGAAAGAGCAAAAAGAAGGGGTACATAAGTAATGACTTTTGAAAGATGAATGCATGAGGGAGAGAGAGGTTCAGCTATGCATGAAAATTTTAAAAAGACAGGTTTGGGAGAAAGAGAAAGGAACAAAATTATAACACTTAACAAGTTAAATTGTTAATAATTTAAGTATAAGGCTTACAAAATCAAAGTAAAACTCTGAGGGTTGATCTTGTGAAAGAAGAACTGGCCAGGGAAAGGACTGCTAAAGAGAAGGACTCATTTACCAAACCCTTGAACTGAATATCCATGTCTGCCCCAAGAAGGTACTTGCTAAGCACTAGATGTGTGAAGGGCAAAGGCAAGGCCCCTGGTCTCATGGAACTCATTTATTTTCTACACCTTCCTAAGAAAGAGCTCACTTTGATTCCTGGAAACTTTACAAATATTAGGGAACATGACTAAGGGGAGGTTGGGATGTGGTATTACAGCCAGCCACATTTTCTTCCCAATGGGAATCTCCATTAGGAGATTTGGTGGCAGTCAGTTGAGAATTCAAGCATAGAGGCCTCTGAGATCTATCTATAAGTGAATGGTTATTATCCTGAAGAACTGAGCTGTGAGTGTGGAACTTATTACGTGGTTATCAGGAATCAGCTTTGAGGTTCAAAACATAATACTGTTTAGACACACACTGGATTGTATCTTGGAAAGGTGACTCATATAAGTTCTCCATCATACCATTTGCATATCCATTTCTGTTAAACATACATAATGCTTAACTCTCCTCATGGACTCTTTGGGGTCATATCAAGCAAATCATAAAGTTCTTAACTCAGTGAGTCAGGGACCATTTCTACAGTTCTTAAATGTTTATATGACCTTTAAACCTTTTCTGACTACAACCTACAGCAAGAAAAAATGTCACATTGTGACTCAATATTCAAGTTTATGTGTGTGTGTATAAAAGTTTCACCAAATAATATTTACCCTTACTACAAGAGATATACTCTGATATTTCTAATCTATTCTATATTTCTTTTAAAAATAAGCAACCTTGCTAACAGCATATTTCATTATATTTAATTGTTTCCTTCTAATGCATTGATAGGTACCCAATACATACTTAGAGATTGACTTACTGATGGTTTTTGTAATAAAAGTATAATATAGGTGGTAATAAACATTTATGTGTTTTATGTAAATAAATATCTGAGACTGAATAATCTTGAAATAAAAATTTTAGAAGGAATAACAATAATAAATCAGATAGCAACACAAGTAAGAACAAAGCTCCAAAATCAGTGTATAAATAGTGAACAAAAAAACTCTGTAACACTTTATTCAAGTGAGTAAAAATCATAAATTTCTATAGGATAGAAGATGTACATTGCTGTGTCTGATTAATGTGAAATTCAATTTCCATCAATCTGCTCTGGAAGGAGGAGTGTGAAATTTACCTGATATATTAATTTCCTGTTTTTACAGCACAAACAGCCAAAAGTAGCACTGGTGTTTTGACTGTCAAGGAGATTATTTGGACACTATGAAAAGGCAAAGAGGAAAACACTTCTGTAAATATAACAAGACTAAAAAAGTAAGAAAACAAGTAAAAAAATGCACGTTCAATATAGGGCTTAAAGCCCACTCTATAATGGTTGTGTGGGGATATGAAAACGAAGTTGGCCAGGTGCAGTGGCTGATGCCTGTAATCGCAGGAATCTGGAAGGCCGAGGTGAGTGGATCACTTGAGCCCAGGAGTTTGAGACTTGGGCCACATAGTGAAACTTCATATCTACAGAAAATACAAAAATTAGCTGGGCATGGTGGTGAGTGCCTATAGTCCCAGCTACTTGGGAGACTGAAGCGGGAGGATCACCTGAGCCTGGGAAGTGGAAGTTGCAGTGAGCTGAGATTGTGCCACTGTACTCCAGCCTGAGCGACAGAGTGAGACCCTGTGTCAAAAAAAAAAAAAAAAAAGTCAAAAAGAAAAAACAGAAAATGTAGTTATGATATCTGTATTTGTGGTTTGAGGCAGAAAGGCAGAAGCACAGAAGCCAGAGATTCAGGGACAAGGATAGTTCCACTCCTGTTCTCTTGCAGCTCACTTCAGCAGAGTGACAATGCTGCATACAAGCCAATTTCTATACTTTTTAAAAGATGACACTAAAAACATATTTCTAAAAGCAAAAAATCACTTAAATTTCTTACACCTTAGTCAGATGCAACTTACTTTGGTATGCTCACCTAAATAAATGGTTTCAGACATAGGTGCCAGATAATCATAAATGGAAGGGCAGAGTTCCCTTATGAAAAACAGCCTATCACAATTTCCTTGCAATCTGAAATCAGGGAATTTCTAGCCAGAGTATATAAATTGACCATCACAATGATATATAACTGCATGCAGAGAAAGGCAGTCTCTGCTCATCTAAGAATATGAAATACAAAAGGTTTGAGTAGGAATTTAAGTATGAACCTTGCTGCCCAGGATGAACACTCAATGATACCAAGTGACTGGCGCATGTTTGGAACTTACAAGTCAGGAGAAGAATGCTGACTAGATATGGGACACTGGGCCAGAAACTGAGTTTCTATGCCCCAGATTCATCCTCAAAAACAGTGTCAGTAAGCCCTATTATGCTGTCTATCCCACAAGAGTTTTTTTTCTGAGAATCTAATTCAATTTAAAACAACCCTGAAAATATAGGACACAATTCACATGTAAGGTAATACCTACTATCTTAGGACAAGACTACTAGATATCTGAAAAGTGTCTTGAATGTTTTAAAAGCAAATGAAAAATGACACATAATCACAAGCTGGTGATCTGATTGAGTGCTGTAATCTGATGCAGAACATAAAAAAGCAGTGACATGAACAGTTACGTTTGGGATGAGCAGGTTCAGCAGGAGTAGGAATGAATAAGCTCATGCATTCAATAATGTGCCAGGTGCCCCCAGGGACAAAATGGAAGATAAAAACTTCGTTTTAAAAAGTTTTAAAGTTTTAAACTCTGTTTTAAAAAGTTTTAAAGTGAGCCAGGCCATGAAAGCTTTGTCCTCTGCCTGTGTGATAGAGAGATCAGGAGCTCTACCAGGTGAAGACACCATGCGGCTTCTGGCTGCTCACCTGCATACCCACGTGAGCAGAAGGAAGGACAATTGAACATCATTAACAGGCACACTCCGTAAATGATTTCCAAAAGAACACTGAAATCCGGAATACTGGAAATGAGAATATCTGATGGCCTGTTTTCAATTCAGCCTCACTTCTCCTCCCGGCCTCCAGGTGAGCCTGGTGGGTTCACCCTGACCTGTTCCTACACAAGCCTGCCTACGTACTAGTTTATTAGTTCTTCTCCAAACTAAAAAATGCCCTTTTCTAGTGAGCCACATTCTGCCTCTTTCAGAAGGCGGGGCTCATGAATTTCTATTTCTAGAAAGCTCCTCAGGGGATTATAATGAAGGATAGCCAAGTGTATGTCACTCCTAAGTATTTATCTTATGGTGTCTTCTGTTGCAATTGTGTTAAATATTTGGGTACAATTTTAACTTCCCCATTTAGATAAAAAAACTAGAAGGCAATAATGTTAAATACTTTTGTTCCCCCATCCTATCCCCAGGACTTAGGAGAGGATCTAGCATACAGTAAGCATCAGTAAAGCTGGTTGACTGAATTAATTTATCCCAATCAAACAGTATGAACGAATGAACGAACAAACAAATGAGATGGTTTGAAGAACGCCAAAGGGCCAGTTTTTCTCACTGGCCTGCCACAGTACCCTCAAATCTCTGTCACTCCCACTTTGGGCACTGTTTCCAGACAGTGCCTGTTAAAATTAAAAAAAAAAAAAAATATGTCCCGGGAGGGATAACATATCAAGTGAGAATTACAGTAACAAAGAACAAAGGGCTTGAGGGACAAAGGGAAGAGATAAAAGCATGTTCCAGGAAAGGCCCAGGGCACTGGTGCAGGAGAGGGCAGGATTAAAGACTGTGGAAGTTAATACAGAGAAGGGCAGAGATGCGCCCCAGGAAAGAATTGAGAAATCTGGGAAGCCGGGCTCAGGAAGGATTGGCAGAAGATTTTTAAAAATTTTTATTTTAATTTTTCCATAGTTATTGGGATACATACTTACATGAGTAAGTTTTTTGGTAGTGATTTGTGAGATTTTGGTGCAGATGTTGAAAACAAACCCTATTTCTTCCCAATTTTGTCTGGGGCTAGCTGTAAATGCAGACAGAAAGTGGGAGAGGAGGAATGGAAGATCTGGAACCAACTTTCAAAAGTGAACATGCTAAGGAAATTGAATATACAGTATAAATTTCAATACCACCATCTCAAAGGGTCTAATTTAGTGTGTGTACTAGAACTTTCTTGTATTACTAAGTGAATCCTCAGGGTTTGGAAAATTTGTTCATGTTGAAGCTGCATCACAATATTGTAAGGAAATTTTATAACATCATTACCATAACTTATTTTAAAATAATAAAGATGAACAAAAATAGAGTAACCACAATTCCCATTAGGAAAAGCAAGACACATTTTTAGAAGAAAAAAGTGGATGAATCCTTGGATTGCAAGTGAGACCCAGCACACGCTCCAAAAGGAAAGATGGTTGCTAAATTACAAATACGAAAAAGAGAGGGATTTGTGGTTGCTTCAGAGAGAAAGTGGGAAGAACAGAAAGAAAAGGGGAGAAAGAAAAAAGCCCACAAGTCTAGGCCCGTCGTGGCAGACAGGCCAGTGAGCGGAAATCTAGGTGGCAAACGCACACGTCAGTGAGGGAACTAGAGGATGAGGACACAACTGACATTTAAATAATGAACATAATGAGTAATTTCAATGTCCAGGTGAGTGAACCACAGAATCACCTGTGTTTGGTCAATCTGGTCAGAGCTAAGTTTCTACAATGAGTAACCATGATAATAAATGCTCTCTCTTATCCCTGAGCTGTCTATTTAGAAAGAATGCTTCAAAACCCTATCAAATTAAATTGCAGGAGAGGAAGCAATTGAGTTCTTCATTTGTTCCCTGATGTGCTTATTATTCAACAGGAATGGATTTAGTGTCCATTGAGGCTGCTCTTTGCTCTGTGACCTTGAGTCACTTACTGTCTCTGGGCCTTACTTTTATCATCTGTAAAATGAGGGGCTGGATCAGATGACCCTTGAGGTGCCTTCCTGCTCTGGGATGTTTTTTGCTTTATAGTAAAAAATTATTATAAGTTAAATATTTTCTAACTCTGTCAGTTAAAAAATGTTTAGTATCCATTCTAAACATTTAAAAATAGTCACTTGAAAATAATTCACAGACACAAGACAAAAAGTTCTGAGAAGATCTTTTTTAAAAAATTGGCACATTATGCTATTATGAAATCCCTATTTAGTGCTTTTATATTTAAACAGTTTAATTGGAATGGAATCTTAAATTTTCCAGATTTTCCTTATACAAGTTTCTTCCAGCATGTAAATCTTATAGGCCACTTTTAACTTCAACATCCAAGTGTCCACTCATTTTGTGCCTGCATTCACACTGCATCCACATTACAACCCCAGTTTCCCTTCTTTATCCAACAAATCCTGCCAGCTGTTCCTTTCTGAGTGAGCTATCATCCTAATTCCTTGTATCAATCACCAGGTCCTCAGATTTAAGAAACAAACTATGGGAGAGTTTTCTGTGTTGGCCTCTTTTTTTTTCACCAAAGATTTCTCCCAGCATATCATAGGAAAGGGAAATTGACTAGGTCACCCTCCTGCTTAAAAAACCTTCAAGGATTCACCTTTTTTTTTTTTTTTTTTTTTTTCAACCAAAGACTACCTTAACTCCATGTCCTGGCATTCGAGGCCATTCAGAAGTTGATGTACTTGATGACCACATGCTTGATAATCTCCAGCCAATCCAGATGGCTATGCTTCATGCCATCATCCCAGTCTCCCTGTCTCTACCTAGGAACATCCTATTGACCATGAAGAGCTCAGATCAAGACCCATCTTCTTGATAAAGCCTTTCCTGGCACTCTAGGAATCTCCTTAGCCACAGCTACACATTCTTGTCATGTTCTCAGCAGCAGATGGAGATGTATTATTCAGTTAACAATACTCCTCAATACCTGTACAGTCTCTAGATCTTGTTTTGCCCATTCATCTGTGAGTTCTTTGAGGACAAGGGGCCATGCACCAGTCTCCAGGCCTGATGCTATCACAGGATTACTCAACTTTAAGGGGCACCATGCCCTTCTATGTAAAAATACTTGCATTTATCATTTATGTGATTTTTCATCCTGAATGAATGACAGCACTGCCAGTAGAGAAGTGATTACATATAAAAACATGGATTTCTCCCCAACTCCTAAGTAAACAAATAGTTCCTTCACATGGACACAGAGAGGGGAACAGCACACACCAGGGCCTGTCGAGGGGTGGAGGATGAGGGGAGGAAACTTAGAGGATGGGTCAACAGGTACAGCAAACCACCATGGTACACATATACCTATGTAACAAACCTGCACATTCTGCACATCATTTATCACTTTTTTAAAGAAGAAATAAAGAAAAACAAACAAACAAAAAACCAAATGGTTCCTTTTACATCTGTGATTTTGATTCAAGAATGCAAACTTGAACTTGTAAATAAGAAGAAGAAAAGTATTTGATTTTAAGATGATGGAATAAAGAAAGCCTCATTTAAAGACAGAATTCTGTGTCATTCACAAGCATAAGGAGGAGCTGTTATAAAGGTGTCAAAAAACCTCTAAATAAGGTGTGGAACAAAAGATGGTAGAGCAGGAAGACGCATTCTTGGCAGGTTGGCCCTCCCAGATGGATGCTCTCTGTGTCCTTAATTAACATTTTATGTGTATACAGTGATTTCTATGAATGAGAATTATTGGCATATAAGCCAAACACCCTCTTTTGAAATCTAAGATGGTCCAGGATACAATGCTACTACACCAGAACGCAAGGGAAAATCCTAATACTTGCTTCCCTTAAAGAAAGAAGATCATGTACAATGTATATTTTAGTTTAGTTTAGTTTAGTTTAGTTTAGTTTAGTTTAGTTTAGTTTAGTTTAGTTTAGTTTATTGGAGACAGGGTTTCACTACGTTCCCCAGGCTGGTCTTGAACTACTAGGCTCAAGTGATCCTCCTGCCTTAGCCTTCTGAGTAGCTGGGATTACAGGCACACTCCACTGCTCCTGGCTAGCATATTTAAATAATTTTATTTACTTATAATTTTCAGTTAAAATTTTCTAGTTTGAGATGTAACAGTGAAAAACTGTGATTTCCGTATTTTATAAGTGGATAAGATTACTCTAGTCAGCATGTGTAAAGTTTATTTGTGGATCCTTCAGGAGGAAAATATCCTAGATAAACATACTAGAAGGATTTTCACAATACAAATAATGATACCTGTTTTCTTCCCTAAGATCATTTTCCAAGGCTTGAGTCTCCCGCTGCAACTTCTGGGATCTTGTGCAGTCTCTCCAGGCCCGCAGGACCTTCAGCTGAATCTTCCAGTCAGACAGGGTCCCAGCTTTCCCCAGCTTAATCCTATGATCAAGAATCAGCTTGTGCCAGGCAGAGAAATACCGTTTTTGACACTGCAGTGGAAACATTAGGAAAATAACCATCCATTAGCACTAGTGTTTCTAATATCTAACACTGACAGCCCTCTCCTCAGATTTTCCCCTCACACTTATTAAAAACAAATATAGGAACTGTTGTCTTAATGGAAGGGAAGAGACAAAACACAATTCCTTTATGCTAATAATGATAAGGAATATTCAATCATGCAAATGAGGCATTCTCAGCTCTCACAACTTAAACTAAAATACTTCATTCTCATTGTAAGCCACCAGTCCCATGGGGAGCTGGAATAAGTCACATCTATGACATGAACCAAGGGGCTTGTTTGAGAAGCTTGAAAACCTGTCTCCAACATGACTCCCCCGCCAAGGTGTCTTGGAGCTCAAAATACCAACCATTTAATTCATTACCGTTTACAACACCATTACCGTTTATAACTACCATGTAGTGCCCTACACAAGTGAACGTGAGAGATTCCATGAAGATGGGATGGAGTCTCTGGTCCCTGAGAATAAGACAGCTAAAAACAACAAAATCAGCTGGGCTACTACCACTGACCACTTTGGGGCTCTGGTGAGTCTAGAGAGACTAGATGTTCAGGTTGCCTATAATCTTCCGCTACATGCATTTGACAGCAAATTAGACAAGGTCTACTGACCCTAAGGATGTCCCAAAGCAGTACTTTACTCACGATCCTAGTCTAAGAAATCACTGAGACCTAGTCCTTGCCTGTATCTTCTCTCTTTTCAGCAAACTTTACATTCCTTCTAGATCAAATTACTTTCAGCTTTTGGCCTTGACATCAACCATGCCATTTCATAGTTTCCTATCTATGTTCACATTGGGTTGGTGCAAAAGTAGTTGCGGTTTTTATCATTGCTTTTCATAGCCAAAAACTGCAATAACTTTTGCACCAACCTAATACTAATTTATCTGTCCCTCTTTTCTGCCTTCTTTCTGCCTAACTACTTCGGTAGTCACCTCCCTCAGGAAGCCCTCCTATTACCAGTCCCTCTACCTAAATGTAACTGCCCATCCACTGTCTTCCTAAAGCAATCTATGCTTTCTTCAGCCAAAACACCCAACACACTATATCATAATTACCAGTTTACCTTCTTCCCCTAGACTGTGAGCCTCCTGAGAGAAGGGAATAGGTCTCATAAATGGGAATGGTAAATCTGACCGTGGCATTGAGTGTGGGGAGCATCAAAACAAAAACTAACATCATAGAAAGTGACTTTGTGGGAAATATGGAGGATGCCTGATGACCAGTTTCAAGGATGTGCCAGATTTATCAGGCAAATATTTACTGCTTCTTTCTCTATAAAAATACTTAACTTTCTTAATTTGAACATTTACTAAGCAACCATCACTGTGTTTCAATTTGGGGACTCTGCACAAAATTGTTTGACATGACCTCTACTTTTGAGAAGTTATAGGGAAAGAGGATATATCAATGAAAAGACCAATAACATAAGAAAGCATCTACTAGAATTCTTAGAAATTGTCCATTTGGCCAGAAATGTTTTCCAAACAGGGTATTAGTTTATATTCTTGTTCTGACAAACTAAACAATATTCTTCATTATAATTTCTCATTAGGAGGAACCATGGCAAACTTTAAAAAGCCCTTTCCCTATGTCAAATGAGGCACATGTTCTAGACCTTCACCTCAGATCTCTTGGAGGGGATGAAAGAGGGGAAGGGAGAGAGGAAGGAAAGGGTATTTGCTGAATACTGGACACTCTTTCAGTTGTAACAGGGAGAAAAGATATAGCTGCCAGGTTGAGGGGTATGCCTTTTGCATCATTTGTTTACCTCTTCCACAAAACACAGCATGAAAAAAAATGGTGCTAACTTGTGTGCCATGGTCTAAAGAAAATGTTCTGTGTCTGTTTACCAGGTCCCTTTAAGAAGTCCTCTTGAATGACTTGGTAAAATATCCTATGTGTAGCTATCTCTAATTTTAACTTCAGGATTATTTCAAATGATGAAAAATAGTACAAACATAATCCATCTTGACAATAATAACACTATTAATAGTGTCCTTTGATTTTGACATTCCTTTTCTTTGTAAAGTTCAAAGCATCTTACATGTAATATATTTATTAATTTGCAAGCCATTATTATAAAATAAAGATTATAAATATTATTATGATTTACTTCACCAAGCTAAAACTTCAAGTAGAGAAAGGTTTAATGACTAAAATCACAAGTAAAGAGTTAGTGGTACACCTAAGGCTGATACTGAAACATTCCAGCATCCTGATGACTCTAATCTATTAGGCAAAAACATCTCTCCTGAAAAAGAAGGGCACATTTTTGGCGCTTTCATAGTGAAAGGAAACTCTATACATAACTTACCATGGTAGAAAAGCATTGGTTAGGGACATATCTGAATGTAGGAGGGGAAATTTTGAGTTTATAAATTCTATAGTCAATATGTTTATTTAAAATACTTATGTTGAGACTTTGAGACCAAAATGATCAGTTTTAAAGGTCTATAATTCAGGTTCACCACAGAGAAGCTAACACAAGAGCAAAGTGACAGACCTGTATAGCAACTACTTCCTTGAAATTGACTTGCTATTGGTTTTTTTCCCTGCCTGCTCAAAAAAAGCAATCCCATTAAAATTTAAATTAAAAAAATAAAGTGTGAATCAAGAATAGCTGCTTAGTTATTCTTGATTCATAGCAAACATTATCCAGGTATACAGGAGTCCCATAAATGTGTTTGAAGAAAATATTTGGGAAAGGAATATACTCAGTTCCATCTTCTCTGGAAGAAGATGCTAGTTCTGTTTTTATTTAGAAGGGTGGCACACTTCCACAGTCCTGAACTATTTATTCTTTCTATTCCTTCCTACCCCCAGCTTACTTCCTGATGTTCCCAGACCTGCTTCTCCTCGTTAGTTTTCTATACTTTGGAACTACCATAGCGCTCTATCCCTTTGCTTTTTAAAACAAGACGTATGACTTAAAACCACAACTGGGTTGGAAGAGGAATATGTTCTGTTTAAGCCAGGAGAACTTAAGTTTTAACTAGCTAGGCAACTAGTCTGACTTCCCTCCATTTATTTCCTAGTTCATTTATTTTTGTACCGTTTTTAGTTCTGACAGATTTTCAAATATAGTCAGGCACTCTTTTCCTAACTTCCATCATCTCTTTATCATAGTTGTGGTAATAATTAAGGCTTGATATAGGTAAATAAACTACAGAAAGTCACTGGAGGAAGAACTGTTCCTAAGTACCTATCTATAATAATTTCTAAAATAAAATACTACCTGGTGAAATTTAGAAAGTTTTAAAGTGAAATGGTATCCTCCACACAAAATCTTCCACAATACATCATTTGGTTGTTAAGGATTCCACTGAAGAGAAGAAATGACAGCTCGCTCTGCTAAATTTATTACCTGCACTGGAGTTGCCCTCGTTCTGTTAGCCAGAAAAGCTCTTCCCTGAAGTGTAATCACACTACTGTCACTAGGAATGATTGACGTTAGGTGGAACAGCAATTTGCTATCTAATCTTCATTGTAATTCTAACCCTGTCACTAGAGATGCTTGTTCTGATTAATGAAGCGGGTAACTCATCAAAATTCCTCAGCTATTTCTCTTTTGTCAGAAAGTTCAGTGATAATTGCATCAAAATTCTCCCTCATGGAAAAATAAACAATGAATTGTTAAGAGGACAAAAATGTCAACAAGTTTACAATTTATTTTTGCTGAATAGAACTAACTTTGTTGCAACTAATGGTCTAGGGGAGTTGGCAAAGGCTGGAATGTCAGGAAGAAAGCTACATTCCACACCCAGGCCCCTAAGTGACTCCTTGCTGTTCTCAGGCCAAAAGAACAGAAACTTTATTGCTACAAAAGGGAGCAATCCCCAACTTCCCTTTTCCTTTGCGGGCTACTGTGGCTGGGCAGAAGACACCAGAGATGCTATGAAGTCCCTGGGGATTAGAGAGTTAGTTTTAAGTTGAAATGAGGAAGGAGAAAAAAATTTAATAAAAAATGGGATCTTTGTCATGGCAAAATCAATCTCCAGTAGGAAGTGCAGTATTGAATTCTGCAATGGAAAAGCAATACCCCTGACCCATCCTATTCCTGATTTTCGTAATTTTACCCCAAAGACAAGACAGGAAATCATGGTAATCCTCAACCCCAATTACATATGCTCATAACTAATTGCATTAGAGAAAATATACTCAGTTCCCAGAACACAGTGCTAAGACCTGAACTTGCTGCTGGGTTCCATGGAAAAGCCTAGAAGCCTAAACTTTGACAACCACTGCCATGTGAAATGATACCCCTGGCTATAGACAAAAAAACTACTTCTGTTATATCCTGGAAGATGTGATGCTCATTTTACTTCTATATTAAATTTTTTTCTCCTTCTTCATTTCAACTGAAAAAAAAACAACAACAAAAAACCCAATCCCTATCACTGTTCTAAAAGCAGAACCAAAGAATAAACCTTTACCCAACTTCAAAAATTATCAACATTCTGCCAATCTTAATTCATCTCTCCCTCAACCAACATTTTTTTCTGAAGTATTTAAAAATAAATCACAGATACCTCATATTGTATCATGCTATCCATAAATATGTCAATATGCCCTTACATAAGGCCATTGTATAAGTTCTTAATTCCGCTAAAAAGTTTCAATTGATAATATTGCTGTAATTATCTAATAGTTACGCTGTTTCACTCTAGAAATAGAATTTCAAGAAGCAATTCCTTAGTCTCACCAAATAGTAAATGCTTAACCAATAAAATTCTCTGGGTTCTTTACAGAAGAATGACCACAATGCAGCCTATCACCTGACCACACATTAGGATGGGGCTCCTTTCCCAATACCCTGAACATGAGTTCTCGTGACCTCAAGTCTGTACAAAAGGCAGACCTACGGCTCCCTGTCACCTTCTCTTTCCCGTCTTTCTTCATGTCCCTTAGAGACCTTCTTCCCCATCTCTACCAAAATCCCTGTTATCTGCCCACCCTTCATCCTTG